GGTGGGGGGTTGGGTGGCTTGTGTTGTTAACAATCTTTGATTTCAGAAACAACTTTGTTTCCTGAAAATGAGAACTTAAAGCACTTGATGATCAAGGATTGGAGCCTTGTTTCCTGAAAATGAGAACTTAAAGCACTTGTTCATGATCAAGGATTAGAGCCTAGTTATAGATTATAACTAAATATAAAGAAAACCAAAATTCTCACAACTGGGCCAATAGATAACATTATGATAAATGGAGAAAATATTGAAGTTGTCCAGGATTTTGTCCTCCTTGGATCCACAATCTATGCTCATGGAAGCCGCGGTCATACAAAGGATGAATTGCATTGGGCAATTCTGCTGCACCAGACCTCTGTAAACTAGAAGAACAAGGATTTCACTTTGAGCACTAAGGTGTGCTGACCCGAAGCCATGGCCTTTTTAATGGCTTGAGGTGCTTGTGAAAGTTAGACACCGAGTAAGGGAGACTGAAGAAAGTTGGTGCATTTTAATTACAGTGTTGCCAAAGACTGTTGAAAGTAGAGAGCCTGCCAGCAGGCCAAGCAAAGCTGTCTTGGGAGAAGGCAGAGCCAGAATGCTTCTTAGAGGCCAGGATGGCAAGACTTCATCTTGTGTGCTTTGGGCGTGTTATCACAAGAGACCAGTTCCCGGAACAGGACATGATGCTTGGTTAAGGGCAGCAAAAAAAGAGGAAGACCTTCGGCAAGATGGATTGGCACAGTGGCTGCTCCAGTGGGCTCCGACCTCAGGACAATGGTGAAGATGGAGTATGACCAGGTGGTGCTCTCTGCCGGGGTACAGAGGGGTACTGTGAGTTGGTACTGACTAGATGGCACCTCTGTCAACAAGAAGAACCTTGTAGGGGCTACCCACTTCTTCTCTGGCCCTCTAGCTGTACATGTTCCGTCAGTCTGGGTACCCGTGCCTGCACCATTTCAAGGAAATCACCCTCCAGCAAAGGTGCCAGTCCTTGATTAGTGTTACATCCAAAGGCATAGCTTTTCTTTATTTTTAGTCATTTTACTGGGGGCTCATACAGCTCTTATCACAAACTGTATATCCATCCATTGTGTCAAGCACATTTGAACATTTGTTGTCGTCATCATTTTCAAAACATTTCTTTCTGTTTGAGCCCTTGGGATCAACTCGTCTTCTTTTCCCTCCCTCCCTCCCCCACCCTCCCTCCCTCATGAACCCTTGATAATTAATAAATTATTGTTATTTTTTCATGTCTTACACTGACCGATGTCTCCCTTCACCTGCTTTTCTGTTGTCCGTCCCCCAGGGAGGGGGTTTAAGGCATGGCTTTTCACGTCTTATCTATATTGCTCTCCAGGGCACTGCTCAGCTTTCTTCTTTCTTCTTCCTTTACAAGATCTCCCAGCTCTGCCTGTCCTATCGTTGTTCATGTTCTCCTGTGTAAGGTGGAGTGGATTCTGACTCATGACCCGTTACGACAGAGTAGAACTGCCCTCACATGGGCTTGGTTTTGGTTTTTGGCAGAGGGGTTGAGGGAGACAGAAATCTTTGGAGTACTGGGTGTGCATTGGTTCAAAACCACCGGCTTCTCCGCAGGAGAAAGGTGGGCTTTTTACTCCCGTCAACGGTGACAGCCTCGGACCCACTCATCAGGACCTGGGACAGTTCCCCCCTGACCTCGTGGGTGGCGCTAGGAGCTGTTTTATCTCCGGGCAGTGAGTTTAGGTTTGGGTTCATCTTTCCTGGGGAGGATCGCTGGGTCTTTCTCCGGCTCAGCTGCTGGAGGGTTTGAACCTCTAGCCTTTAGATTAGCAGCCAAGTGCCTGAAGGGTACATTATCATCTCTGTAAGGTTCTTCGTTTGTGTATGCACCTTCTGGTTTTGTTGTTGTTGTTTTGTTCGACGCTGTCCATGTTCCTTCAGAAGTGTGACCCACTGACACGGTTTCAGCTATTGTTGTAGTTGTGTTGTTGTTCTGGATAATGGTCAATTTACTTTCAGCTTGGACTTCATCCTCGGGCTCCACATCCCACAGTATCTGGGCATCTCTACCTAAAACTTCCTACATTTTGATTTCTTCTTTTTTTAAAATCATTTTATTGGGGGCTCATACAACTCTTATCACACCCCATACATACATCGTGTCAAGCACATCATTTTGATTTCTCTATTTCAAAATCAAACCACTTGTCCTCCTTGTTAACCAGTTCTTTCTCTATTCTCTATTTGTCACGACCATTCACCCACCTGCGAGTAACCATCCAGCTGTTCTTTTAGCTTCTGGATGATTCCCAAGTATTCATTCTTTGTACTCCTTCCTTACATACTTCTATTACTATTGGGCACCCTAATTATCTTCCATCTGGGTTACTCTAACAACCAAACGAGCACACTTGGCCTCCTTTGAGACCATCCAGCCAATAAATGTATTATCAAAAAACCTGAGCTGAACCATCATTATTACCTGGAACCAGATAAAGTCAGAGACCCTTATTAAGTGTTTCATCAGACTGCCGTCCGCCTCCTCACATTGCTAGCCTGGCCCGTGAGACTCCAGTCACTCAAACTACTCTGTAGTTTCCTGCAGCTCCCTGCCTTGTCTTTCCCTGCCCTGTCTCCCGTCTCCAGCTTGGCTCCCTCCTACCCAGCCCTCAGGACATGAAAGACATCCCTCTTCCCAGAAGCCTTTCCTAATGCCTCCATTTCTCCATCCGGGGGCCCTGCTTGACGTGAGTCTCAGTCATTGAACATCGCAGTCTTGTAAGGGCTCAATTGTGTGTCTGTCTACATCTCTGTAGGCCAGTGGTTCTCAACCTTCCTAATGCCTCAACCCTTTAATACCGTTCCTCATGTTGTGGTGACCCCCCAACCATAAAATTATTTTTGTTGCTACTTCATCACTGTAATTTGCTACTGTTATGAATTGGTCGTTGTGAAAGGGTTATTTGACCCCCAAAGGGGTCACAACTCACAGGTTGAGAAGCGCTGCTGTAGACTCTCTCCCCCTCAAAAGACAGAGATGGCTTCTTTTTTTCCATAATGAAATTATTTTATTTTATTTTATTTATTTATTTTTTAATCATTTTATTAGGGGCCCATACAACTCTTATCACAACCCATACATATATCAATTGTGTAAAGCATATTTGTACATTCATTGCCCTCATCATTCTCAAAACATTTGCTCTCCACTTGACCCCTGGCATCAGGTCCTCTTTTTTTCCCCTCCCTCCCCCCTCCCCCCTCCCTCATGAGCCCTTGATAATTTATAAATTATTATTTTGTCATATGGCTTCTTAATCATCTTTGTAGAGCCGGGATATAGCTTGGCCTGTACTGGGTCCTCAATATAGATACTTTAAAAATTTGAGTGACTTTTTCTTTTAATGTAGCTTTAGGTTTAAAGAAAAACGGAGTAAAAAGTGCTAAGAATTCCCATATAACTTTGCACACTGATATACAATTTCGCCTGATATTGTTCTCTTCCATTGGCGTACCACATGCATTATAATCTGTGAACTAGCGTTGATATATTTCATTGACCAACGTCTATTCTTTGTCTTGGGGTTCACACTTTTTGTGATGTTGTTCTGTGGCTTATCTGCCATGACAGTGTCATACAGAGACACGGCACCTTCCCTTAAAGCCCTCATTGGCTCCCTATCCTCCCTGTGAGCCCCTGGCAACCACTGATGCTTTCACTCTGGTAGACAGGAAAATATGCCCACGTTGTTTTGAGACGATACTCTGTCACAGTCGGAAACATACAGTGTGTAGCTTTCTCGGACGGGGTTTGTTCACTTCTCGCTGTGCATTTGACGTTCCTTCTGCAGCTCCCGGGCTCATTGATTTGGGAATTGTGGAATAACTCTCCATTGCAAGGGTGTGCCAGTGTGCTTGCCAAATTCATCCTGTTGGACAAGAGGGAGAAATTGGTTGCTTCTAATTTTTAGCAAACACAAATAAAGCTGCTCTAAACATTTGCGTGCAGTTTGATGTGGACGTCATTTTGGCCTCACTTGAATAAATAGCTATTAGCACAATGATTGGATGGAATCAAAGCCTGTGCTTAGCACACTAAGGCACATCCAGTCTCCCCAAAGGCTGGACCACTTTTCAGTTCCACCAGCAATGACTGGGATGTCCACTTATTCCACGTCTTTGCTGACACTCGGCCTTCTGGTTTGGGATTTGAGCCATTCTAATGAGTGGGGGGTGGTATCTCATTGTTTTCAATGTACAATTCCCTGTGGACATATGCTGTTGACCCTCAATGTCATCTTTGAACATGTGGGAGGTTTTTGAATGAAAAGAGAAACGGGCAGTTACATCAATTTGAGATCTACAAAAATTGGGCAAACCCAGTCTCTGTATGGCAGCTACCCATAAGAAGGGGCATGGGGCAGACTGTGCTCTTGATCTTAGCCAAAAGGAGCAAAAATGGTGTGAAGCAGACTCTGCAGTGCCCGTAATAGTTTGGTTTTTGACCTGGTGTTCTCAGTGCAAAGTTCATTGAGCTTTCTACTTGTGATGTTCATACTTCTCAGGATTACTTAAGCTTCAAGGAAATTTAAAAAAAAACCAGTTTGATATCTAATGTATACAATACAGAAAATTTCTTTCTTTTTTTCAGCCTTTGCAGTTTTAAGTGTTTTCATGGGCTTGTGGTTCAGATGGGAGCACAGAAACGTAGGGGGGCGTTCGTGCTTGGTGTTAAGGAAGAGTGAGTTGAGCATGCATCGGCGAAGTGTAGCCCGGAGGGCCGAGACTGGCAGTGAGTGACCTGCTCTCTCTGTCTCACTTATTAGGGGCCACCTGCTAATTACAGGCGAGCTCCGTGGGCAGGAGCAGGATGACTTCCTCAGAAATGTGATGATGAATAATTCATAAACGTGGTTGGTTATCTGGAAATTTGTGATCATCATTAGCATTTTAATGGGGGAAAATAGCACAAAACCAACCGTTATCCTAAATCTCTTGTTTCTGCCTTTTCTCTTGTCTTCCCCCTTCCACCTCAGTTAACCCTCTCGGTCTTTCCTGCATCCTTGGAGACTGCCGACAGCCCAGCTAATGTGCTGACTGGTTGCTATGGGCAGACGGTACCCAGAGGCCCACTGTCGTCCAGGCAGCTCGTGTACGTATGGACTGGTTTCTCTCTGGCTCTCTCTGCCTCTCCTTTTCGCATTAAAGTTTCATTGCAGAATATCGCAGGGACCAAACAGCAGGGAAAGGTTTATAAAGTTTAAAGGAGACGGTTTCGAAATAGGAGCAAATGGATTGTTGAGGAAAGGTTTTTTTTCCTACTGAATCATGGGAAATGTCATTTGCATAAGGAGTGTAAGACCCACACGGTCCTGCAAGCTATCCAGTGCGAGTAGCAATCTCCCCTTTTCTGTTCAATTGCATTCATTCATACACTGGCCTTTTATTTTGTTTCTTTGTATGTCGTTTTCTTTTTTCTCACTATAAATATATATATATATTTAACAAGATTTTAAAACAGCTGCTGTTGCTAGGTGCTACTGAGTCCGTTCTGACCCATAGCAACCTTACACACAACAGAAGGAGACACTACCCGGTTGCGTGCCCCCCAGTGAAATCTTCCCGGTTCTTGAGCCCATTGTTGCAGCCCCTGTCCTGCCAACTCCGCGAAGGCCTCCCTCTCTTGTCACCGCTCCTCTGCTTTACCCACCAGCATCTCCTCCACCAGGGACTGGTCTCTCCTGACCGTATGTCCAAAGGATGTAAGACCGCCCGCTCTCCTTGCCTCTAGGAGCACTCTGACCTTCCTTCTTCCAAGACAGATTGATTCGGCCTTTTAGCAGTGCAGGGCTACGGCTTTTTGAGTTTTAAAAATAACAGTGATGGCAAAACACCAAGATTTACCAGCGTGTGTCTTCATTCCATTCCGATTGTAAGCTGCGTGACCACAGAAACGATGCCCTTGGTGCGTTGGTGCCTGGGTTTGAACTCTCTGAGAGGCTGTCTTAAATTCTTCGAGGGAGGAGCTCTTCAGAAGGCCCCAGGAAAGTCTCCTAATGTCTTGGGACATGTATCCGTTTCCTCAGCAGTCTTCTGGGAGCACCTATAATTGCAGCCGTTTCTCTTTTGTTTCCTTTACCCTGTATTTTTAGAGAAGAAAGATACTACAGAAAGAGTTGCTTGTCTCCGACTTTCTCTTGGTTTCCGGTAGCCTTGCAGCCGCGGGCCCACTGGGCCACGAGGTGTGCACTCACCATGCTTCCCTTCGGACCCTCCGATTGGCTGGAAGTCAGGAGCCTGCGCTCTCGCGGTGTTTGGCGTCAGTCCCCTGCGCAGCTTTGCTTCATCTCCTCCCTGTAGTTCTGGTTAGTCAGAGTCTACCCCCACCCCCACCTCTTCGCCCCATGGCCTGAGACTCTGCGGTTCTTTTTCCTCGTCTTCGAAAAGCTAGGACCCCCATGGAGACAGATGCTTATAAAATAAGTCAATGTCAAAGACAGAAGCATATTAATAGCAGCGGGGGTGGAGTAGGGATTCTGGCCAACTGTTAGCATTACAGCCAACACTGTTGGGGCAGGCAGCTTGTACACACACACACACACACACACACACACACACGCGTGCTCACACACACATTTTTTTTCTTTTTTAACATTTTATTAGGGGCTCATACAACTGTTATCCCAATCCATACACACATCAATTGTGTAAAGCGCATTTGTACATCG